ACTCGTGATTGAAGCCGCTTGCGCTTGCTAAACCTCATTTAATCTAATAAACTACTTGTAAATTGGATAAGATTCTTGTAAACTACTGGACTTATTACGTAAATTATAAAGAGTCAACCCTCTGACATCGCGTCTAACAATTGTAATCCGAAAAGATTGCACGTTAACAATATTAAAACTAAAATATAATGCGATAGGCCTAGTTGTCTCTAAACTGTAGCGTAACGTAATAGGCCTGGTTATTTCTAAATTGTAACATAATGTGATAGGTCTTCAGAATTGGTTACTTACGTCGGCTAACAATACCTCACTCACTGCTAAAACTACTCAAGTTATTTTCTCACCCTTTTACATGAATTAATAAGTTACCTATTTATATAAAAGATATTATATAAAAAGATATAACTAATATATCTAATATATCAGCTATGTTTAATATGTCAGTTATGTCACATATGTCTGACATGTATAATATGTCAGCTATATCTAATATGTCAGTTATGTCATATATGTCTGACATGTCTAATATATCAACTATGTTAAATATGTCACATATGTCTAACATGTTGTATATATCAGTTATGTCAAATCGGTTAATCTTCTATGCTACATGAATTGTGTCATATTTATCCGTTCATAATAACTATATGAGAAAAAATTTTAGAAAGGCTCAGGTGAAAACTAAGGTATAAATTTGATATTACTTAAAAGTAGAATTATATAGAAATAAAATAAGAAATTATGCTTTTGGATACTACTGTTAATAGGTAGAAAAGAGATTAAAAAGGCAAAAAGGCTCAGAAAGATGTACAAAAAAAGGTATGAAAGCAATATAGCCAGAACTAATTTGACACTTCGTACCTGACTGGCAATCAAAAAGTGAGTGAATGGATTGTAACACATTTTTAGCAAATAGATGGATTGCAAATTTAGCACTTCATACTTTATCCAGTAATTAAGATATAATAATCGAGAAGGAAAATATATAGATTGCAAATTCAGCACTTCGTGTCTCAACCTGGCAATCAAATGAGAGTAGGATTACAAGTGTTCAGCACTAATTTCTAGCAATTACATAAGCTGATCTTAGTACTTTCGATTCTCCAACCATTAGATCTTCCAGTCAGAATCTCAAAAGTAGTGAGAAAGTAATAGGGAAATGATAGATGCATATGATTTTTTTTAGCGTAGTAAATTACAATAATTTGACTAATATTATATTCCATATTTTTGGGTTGAAATTAACTAAAATAAAGTCATGTGATTTGACTGTACCACCTGATTGCAACATGATTTTAGCAATTAAGGTTGACCAAGCATCTTGGTCACAAAAAGATTATAGAGTAATAAAAATAAGCAGATAGTTAAAAAGTAATAAAAAGAGGATAGAGTAATAAAATCAAGCAAATATCTACAAAGCAATAAAAAGGCTATAGAGCAATAAAAATAAATAGATATTAATAAAGCAATAAAACGATCACAGACAGTAAAAACAATAACTAGGTAACATTATACTCATAACTAGATAATATTATAGTACAACTGGATAATACTCTTATAAGAGTGTTATCCAGTAATACTTCTAATAGTGTTATAATTCTTTAGTTTCATAGTAAATTTGACGTAAATTAGTTTCATATATTTTATTTTTATATAGAGATAATCTTATATTAATTCATTACATTCTGGTATGATAAGGTGAATATTAAAATTAACAAGTTCATAAGTTATGAATACACTATTATTACTATCAGATACACTGGTCAATTTTATAGCCACATCATAATCAGCCTCTCATTTATGTTACATAATCAAATGTTCACTTTGTCTGGTTTTATTGCAGTCTGCCCTATTTAAAAATATTATTAATTAAAATAATTAAATTTTATTCTAATTTAATAATTAAGTATATCATTCTAATCAAATAATAAAAATATTATTAGATTAGAATGATTAAGTATAATTATTTTAATCAAATAATAAAGGTATTATTAATTGAAATAATCATAAAAATTATTCAATTAGAATAATAAAATATATTATTTTAATTGATATATGTTATTTTTTTGAATTAAATTAATTAAAATTTCAGTTCAAATTCAGATTGACTTATAATCTTAACTAAATTAAACCATTTAAAGTTTTACCTTTAATTTATAAATTCTATTAAAAACTAATTATTGATAATTATAAATTGAATATCTTTCTATTTAATTAAAGTATTTTTGAAAATTATTATTAATTTCCCATCATTTTTTATAATTAAAACATGTATCTTTTAAGTCATTTTTTTTTAAAAAATAGATTTTAAAATAAATTTTAAGATACATTTTAAGTAATTAAAAATAACATAACTTATTTAAAATACTAAATGCGATTTACTATAACAAAAATTATTGTGTAAAATTATATTTAAATAATAAATCTACTATTAGTTTATAATATCGATATACTTAAATTCCTTTGATAATTAGAAATAATTTTATAAATTAATAAAATTGAGTTTTATTATTTTTTTAATTAAAAGTTTTATAATATATGTAATTTTATAAATACTATATATTAAATATTTTAAAAAACGATTATAGATCCATATATATTTCGAACAAAAACAAAAAAAAAATATACTTATTTGCGAGCGGGAATTTTCTGTATAATTTATAAACAGCAAGTTACCTCGTGATTCACTTGCAACTCATGACGTGTTTTTTTGGGAAAAGAGTCGAATTTAAGTTGTAAATAAAGTAATTTTTGTAGACTTCTATTTCCTTGACAACAAAGTCGGGTTATTCTATTTCTAATAGAATAAATAAAACCTTGGAATGAAATCAGCTTATTTTTGTTATTTATGTGTTCTATGAAATATATACTCACCATATACTAGACTTCAAGTTTCAACTTATGCTAGCGTTGAATATTTTAACGGGATCTGCTACCAAAGCATTTTCGAGTTAGTTCTCAGAGTTGGCTTACAATCGTTCGTTTTGAAAAAGGTATGTGATTAACATATCTGAGAGACTTGCTGTACGGAGTTTTTATGTTAATATGAAATCCTATTTTAAGAACACGTTTGTTGAGAGCACAACTGGGAAATTTGTCGAAAACGAATTAGAATGGAGGGTAAATGGAAGAGTAGAAGAGTAGAAAAGGAGTTATTATGATTTATACTATTTTCTTTAAGCAAAGGTGGTGAAAATATCGTATTTTTAAGTAGAATTATTAGACATACTTGCAGGTAAATGATGAATTTTCCTTTCCGAATTTGAAAAATTATCGCATTATTTACACAAATTTAAAGGAATTAATGCAAAAATTAATTTTAATCAAAATTCTTTTAGAAATGAACGAAGATATAAACTTAATGATCCAAGAACATTTATATAAGTAAAGGTTAATTATCGGTAAATTTATATTAGAAGAGAAATTTGAATACAAAATTACATTATCAAAATTCAAAGGGTTTTACAAGGTGACATTGTGTTTTATTGGATGAAAGTTCAGGCAACCGTCAACAAACCTGGTAATTATTTATCCGGTAAGAAGTACCAATGATTGATCAAAAATTACG